CCCGCAGGTCCTCAATGAGAGCGCGGATCTTCGTGGCGCCGGGCACATCGTCCGGCGCCGCTTGGAGGATGAGCTGTGAAATTTCCAGGTACCGGAAAGGCAGAGGCGAGAAAGCGCTCGAGGCGATCTCCGCCTTTAGGTATAGCCGAAGGGCGTCTGGGGCGACCGGCAGGCGGGATACCGTCAGTCATTCGGGCAATTGGGGACACACAGAAGCACCTGCGTGCCAATGGGCACTCGCGCGCGTACCCTCGGTCAGCCACTCGGGCGGCCGGATGCGTGCCCGGCCAGCCCGTTTGAGCATCAGCGCAAGCCAGAGAGGAACGAGGGTCTCGCGCTGGGGATGCAATGGTCCAATGGTGCCCTGTTGGTTGTCAAAGCCCAAGCACGATGTTGCGGGGGAGGGCATGAGGGTCAGCTAGGAGGGCAGCGGCCAAATGGGGGGGGGGGGGGATGCAGCAAGGCAAGGCAACGCAAGGCAAGGCAGCCGACAAGAAAGGATGGCCCTCCCGTCGCCGGGCCCCGGCTGGGCACGCACCGTGACGAGATTCATCCGGGGGAGCCGGACAGCCGGAACGATGGTCACAAATTCGTTCTCCGCACAGAAGTCCAACTCGCTGTTGGACGGCGGTGAAAGGGAGGCGCCGGATGGAACCGGCGCCGGGGCCAGCCCCCCTCCGGATGTGTCAGCCATCCTGCTATGGAGCCGCGAGGCGCAAGGAGCCCGCGTGGCCGGGCGTCGGGCGGATGCTTCACAAGGCGAGGACGAGAGTTGCCAGGCCCGCGCGTATGGACGTGCGTGTCCTTCCGTGGGAGTACGAGGATGAGATGACGCGATGGCGCGTCAACGTGTGGATGGGAGAATATGCGAGGCGGGGCCGAGGGGGAGGCGAGTGGAGGAGGGCGACACGGAGCGCGGGCGCTTTTTTGCCTCATGGGTCCCCCGCGGTGCCGCCGCCGGGCGGAACTCATATTCCTGATCGACCGTTCAGTTGCCAACTGAAGGGGGCGGTGCTCTGATCGCCGCGCGACCTCCGTGTGGGAGGACCCCCCGGTCCCGGCCCCCGTCCTACACCTGGCGGCTCGCAGCTCGGGGGGGGGGGGGGGGAGTGTCAGCACTGGCACACTTCCCTTCGCCTCCTTTTGGGGCCGCGTCTCCGGGGCGCCTCGCCAAGGGACCCTCATCTCGACCCCACTGTGCTCGGCATTCGCCTGGCCTGTCCTCGCTTGCATTTGTCCCCCTCATTTTTCTCCCCCCCCCGCCGGCGCCGCCCCTGTCCCATCGTCTGTCTGGCTTGCCGGGCCCGGGGCTTCCTCGACATCTTGTGGCCATGCCCGCCGGGCCTGTCGAAGACTCTCCGCCTGCACCGGGCCCCCCTTCCGGCGAGGCGGTCATCCCTGTGGCGGACTTCTGGCCCTGGGCCCTGAGCTACATCGGGGAGTATGTCCCGGCATTGCAAACCAACGTCCAGGAGGTGGCATCGCCAGTGTCCCTGGCGGACGCCTGGGTCCCCTGTTGTGGGGCATGCGGGTCTTCCTCGGAGCTGGCCATGGCCGAGCCGCCGAGGCGGCGCGTGCGCAGCTCCAGCCCGGCGGTCTTCCGAGTGACCAACACCCGCTGGTGCGCCACCCAGTCCGGGTTCTGGTATGACAAGTGCCCCGGCCAGCCGGCCGGCTCTCGGCCGTCCGGGCTGCTCGGTGAGGGGCCCTTCTACCACCGGGATTTTCGAGCACACCGGGGCTTTGTTCCTGGCGATGTGCCCGGCATGCCGGCCGGCCCGGGCTCTCGGCAATGGGGCTGCCCTCAAGAGTGGGGCTGGTCCTGGTCTCCCCCCGGGCCGGATGCTCCCTTCCCCGGCCCCGGGGCGGAGATCTTCCTGATCGGGACCTTTGCCCTGCGTTTGGACATCATCTACCCGGGCCAGCGGGTCCCCGGGCGCATGGCCCCTCCGAAGGATCGATCTGCCGGCTACACCGACCTCCTGGTCAATGAGTGGCAGATCCTCGAGCGTGTCCAGGGGCAGCCGGGCTTTCTGACCACCGTGGTGTCCATCGACCGGGTGCGCTGATCGCCCGTTCGTGTTCTGTCCTCCCTCTTTCGCTGCCCTCTTGGGCCTCCGCCTGCGGCCCTGCTCCCTTCCGGGTCCCACATGGCGGGCGAGCTACCGACTGACAGTGCCTGCCTCCCTTTCGCACAGGAGAACCCCCTCGCCGAGGGCACGCAAACGACCATGACCATGCGGCTGACCGAGGACTGGATCTGCACGCTGGAAGATGTGCTGGCTCGGCTGGATGCACGAACGGCCCACCTGAGTCAGGTGCAGGCGCGCTTCCATCGGCCGGCCGATCCGTCCGCCTGGCCGCCGCTCTTCCCGCATTTGGTCTTCCTTGGCGCCCGCGATGCGCTCCGACCAGCGGTCTGCCCTTTCACCCAGCTTCCACCCGGTCTCCAGGTCCTGCCGGCGACGCTCACACAGCACTTCCCGGACACTCTCCTTGCGCTTGAGTTGCTGGCACAAGTTGGTGCGTTAACATTCCCCCCGCTCCTGCTCTTGGCAACGTGCCCTACTCCCCTTTCGCATCCCACCGCACATGGTGTCCTTGACCCGATGCGCTGACCCCCGTGCATCCTCCGGCCCTCATCCCTCCCTGCCTGGGTCCTCAGTTAGTGCTCTGGTTCTTCTTCACAATATTTCGGTGGTTCATGCAGCCATCCGCCCACGAAGCATCCTCCTGACGGTGGGCGACCCGCATCTCTTCCCCTCGAGTCATCCCTGCCAGGGGCCTCCCTGTCGGCCGACCCTGCGGGCCTGCTTGGACTCCTTCGAGTGGGCGGCCATCAGCCGGAATCTTCTGGTGCCGGGGGTTCCGCGCGCCGGCGGGTCCCGGTATCTGGCACCCGAGCTGCTGGTGGCTGACGACCTGCCCAGCAGCCCCGAGGCTCCGCCCCCTGGGGGACGTCTGACGCCCAAAGCCGATGTCTACGCCCTCGGGGTCATCCTTCGACAGTTCCTGCCCCTCTTCGAAGCCGAAAGGGCGCGCTTTGCGGAAATCCCCGACCCGGACGCCGACCAGGTGCCGGACTTTGTGGCACTCGCCCAGGTACGCACTCGGATCACACTCGGCGCCCCCCTGCATTTGGACTCCATCACCATCAAAACCCCTCTGGGGCTGATCTTCTCGGGTGTTGGTTCTGCCGTGCTGCCTTCTTTCTTTTCTTTTTTTTTTTTTCCTGCCCCTCTCCCCTGCTTCCCCCCTCTCGCCCCTCCACCGCCTGCATCTCCCTCACCCTGTCTCTCGCCCTCGGTCACTCGACGTGCTTGTTCTTCATTGGGCTGGGGTGCCTTTTGCCGACAGGACTTGGTGGCCAGAATGACCGAGGCCCGGCCAGCCCTGCGGCTAACCATGACCGAGATCCTGCTGCACGACTTATTCGCATGCACGCATACTGCACGTGGGGGAATCGAGCGACCCGGCCACCCATGAAAATGGAGTGCCCCCTGCCTTTCTCCCTTGGTGTCGACCATGCCCCTGTCACAGACAGCCCGGAAGTGAGAGGAAGGGCGGGGAGATGTATATTGCAAAAGGGGCAGGAGAGCCGCCTCCAAAGGGCAATGTCGACCGGTGACTGTCTGTCCTCTTTGCTGAAGGTGCACGCGTGGGAGGAGGAGTGACAGACGGGGCCGTGTGAAAGGAAAAAGGAGAAGAGGACATGTGCTCAGAGGAGCGGGAGGGGGAGGGGGGGAGGGGAGAGCGTCTTGCGCCGCCGGAAAGCCGACGGAGGGGGGGCGAATGAAGATAGGGTCGGGTCCGGCATTGGCATCCATGCCTCTCTGCAGGGGAAGAAGGGGGGGGGGGGGCGGGGGCGGGGAAGGACCAACTGGGCACACACACACACACAGGGCGGTGGGGCCACTTAGTTCTGGTTCTCCAGCTTGCCGAGGAGCTCGGAGTCGCGGAAGATGACGAACTCCTCGTTGTCGAACTTGACGGTGGTACCGCCGAAGTCCGGCAGGACGACGACGTCACCAGCAGCGACGGACATCGGGATCACCTCGCCGTTGGCAGAGCGACCGCCAGGGCCAGCGGCGACGACGACGGCCTCGCGGACAACCTCCTTGCCGGACTGGGGGATGTAGATGCCACCAGGAGTGACCTGTGTGTGTGTGTGTGTGTG